TTAAATAGAGGGCTAGAGGGATGTATAATTAAGCAGTACTTCTCAAGGTTTGGATCCCAGCCCTGATGGTGTGCTAGTTTAGGATCAAGGCTGATCTGTAAGGTGTTCCGGTAAGTTGTCAGAACTGTGCAATGTCTTGAGAAGCAGTTTGTCAGGGCTTCAGCTTTCCTGTTCCCTCAGCATGGGATTCCTGCGGAAAGTTCAAGTCTTTCCAAGAGGCCAGTAGCTCAAGGTCTCTAAGATACCTTGTCCTACCAGGATGGTTACAAGCATGAATGTGGAAGTAGTTTACTTCTTGTCAGGTGGACTTTTTATTCACAGCCAAATATTTGCCTACTTAGTAACTTAAATACATAGGCACCTTAGAAATGCTAAACACAGTAACAATTTACCAAAATGTAACCAGTTTCATGTTGAAGTGCCTTAAGTTTCAAAAATACACTATTCATTGGTGGTCTTGCCAAAGACTCACACTTCACTTATTCCCAGTGAAGGCACTCAAGTCGCAGATCATGTATTACCTAGCCAGAGTTCTATCTGGGATGCCAACTCTCACCCAGAAGGGATAGTGGTGTTTTGTACTTTCCAGGTGCTTCCTGTTGAGCTGTTTTCAGTGCCCTTCCACTCTTTTATACTTACAGGGGGACAGTATGGGTCTCTCAGGCATCCTGCCAGTGACCTGCATCCCTATCTATGCTAGCTTTATTTATAAAACTGAAGCCATGGATGTTTTTTCTAAAAGGTTCTGGTCATTCTGATAAAATTAAAAGAAAACAGCACATGGCTTAATGTCTCTTAAAGGCTCAGCAAATAACTAGATTTATTTTTAATGGCCTCAGACTTATTCTGGAGTGTTAACTTTTATTTTTATTTTTTAAAAATATTTTCTCATTTTTCTCATTTTACTTTTACATATCAATCCCAGTTCTCGCTCCCTCCACCCCACACCACCCACTCCTCAGAAAGGGTATAAGTTACCAAAGTCTAGTACACTGCTTTGAGGCAGGACCAAGGCCCTCCTCCACTATATCTAGACTAAGCAAGGTATCCTTCCAAAGAGAATGGGTTCCAAAAGCCGGTATAAGTAGTAGGGATAAATCCTGGCCTCACTGCCAGTGGCCCCAGTCTGCCCAGCCATACAACTGTCACTCACATTCAGAGGGCCTAGTTTGGTTCTATGCTGGTTGGGGGGGGGGGGCACACACAAGCTCCCATTAGTTCAGGTAAGCTATTTGAGTTGGTATCTTCATCATGGTCCTGACCCCTTTGCTCATATTGTTCCTCCCTCTCTTGGACTGAACTTTGGGATTTCAGCCCAATGCTCTGCAATGATCTCTATGTCTGAGTCCGATCTGACTTTTGAATGCAGTAGTTCTTTGTTAAATAAAGATAAAAGGCCTTGCTCTAGGGGTTTTCAAGACCTTCCTTACCAGCTGCTGTTCCTGTATTGTCACCAAGATCCACCTTGGGCAGTACATGGCCTTTCCTCTCCCTCCCAGAGTATCTGAGATGTGATGAAACACAAAATCCCTACTTCTTCACTGTTGCAGCCTTGCCACACTGAGTTCTGGTGAATGCAACTATTACCTTTCACCCTTTCCAATGGTCACCTCTCAGAGAGTTTAATAGACATTACACAACTTAACCTTTGTGCTCAAGGATTTGTCATTAGAAAAATACCAAAGAAAATGAGTGAAACAGTATTTATTAAAAAGTACCTTCTTACTTTCCTGCTTTGGGGAGATGTTTTTCCAGTGTTTCCAGTGTGACTTAAATGGCTTCCCTCTTTTTCGTAGCCTGCAGTATACATCAGAATAAGGAACCGAGCCCAGGATGAGTACCTGACAGTCACTGGGAACCGAGCTGATGCACGGACAATGTCCGTGTGCATCTCTCCCTTCAGTGGGAAGGACACTCAGATCTGGTACTACTGCCGGGGACTCTTTAAATCTAAGGTAAAAGATCATTTTTTCTGATGTTGGCATTTGTATGTTAACTACAATACTGTCAGGTGGCATGCTGAAAACACGGTTGAAAAAGACCACTGTATAATCATGAAAATGCTGACACATGTAAAATGGACTTAAGATTTTTTTCTTAATGTAGAAAGTACAGTTTGGGTTCTTAACACATACCTAAATGATTCCTTCCACTGGAGCCAAATCAGACACTATGCTTTTTAGAAGGGTTCCTTATTTGACGACCCAAATAAAACCTATTGTTCCCATGATTCAAAAAGTGTTAAACACTTTCTTTTCAGAACATACAGAGGAGTCATAATAGAAGAAACTGTTATTATGAAAGATGCTTAAAAAATGAAATGCAAGCTTTCCCCCCCATCATGCTTGATGTTCTGGGAATAGAACACTAATTCAGAAAAATACTATGGTCTCTTAAATGTTTTCCATGTTGCTGGTGATAAAATCAAAAGTAATTTTGTACATTTTAACAGGCCTTTTCTAAAAGAGCCTTTTAAAAATCAGCCAGAAAGACATTTAAAGATAAATTGCAGTTATACAAATGTCAGTGATTTATTAAGGAAAGGGTGCCCCTGTTTATATTTTACTTCTTAAATCATAGGCCAGTAACACATGTCTTGATGTGATTGGTGGCCGGGACACACCTGGAGCCAAGGTAGCCTTGTGGACTGAACATGGGCAGTTCAGGCAGAAGTGGAGACTGAACAGAAATGGAACTATCAGCTCTTACCTGAGTGATGAACTTGTTCTGGATGTTAAAGGTAGGCCTTTGATAATAAAGAAATTTTGCTAAGAAGGAACTAATGTACTCTAGGGTCATGTAGCTAGAGAACAATGAAGTCTAAATAGATTTCCCTTCATTAGAATAGTAAAATTTTCACTTACAACCTTAATTTTCAAGAGCTGTTGGAATTCTAAATTTGAAGCACCAAAACCTACAAAATAAGGGATACCATCTGTTTCTTTCCCAGAACATTTTTTGCACTGAATAGCTGTGATCCTTAAAAACCCTCTGTTAAAATTTATGGCAGGAGCAATTAACCTTGTTGTTTTAATTCTGCAAGATCAGGACCAATATCATTTATGGTTGCTCTAGTTGGGGTAGGCAGAGCCATTGCTGCTGTAAAAACAAAAGCAGTACAAACTGTCTTCCCTCCCAAACTGCTTTGAAAAATAAGAAAAGGTTGTGTGTAGCAAACTTTTCTTTTGTGATTTCTATTTTAGGTGGAAACTATTATGACAAAACTCATGTTATTGTCAATCAGCCCCTGGAAGGAGAAGAAACACAGAAATGGGACATTGAAATCTTGTGAGAATCACAAAGACACCTGCACCCTCATTGCCCTGTGTGCATGGGAAGGAAGCTGCTGTGTCCGCATTATTGCATTGCTCACACAAAAGACCTTTCTCCTAAGCAGTGAAACTACTGCTCCATGGAAAAGCTAAAAATATTCTCACCGGTTATGCAGTGTCCTTGTGAAGCAAATGTAATGATTTTTTCCTGGTGGATTCAGTTGTGGTGACCAATTTCCTCAAATCTGTACTTCGGTCTCCAAACCACCAAATATGAATCCCATTCTTGTTGGCCAGACAATGCTATTACCTGCATTAGTATCCTGTTCCATGCTTGTGTAAGTGAGGGTCAGGGGAAACAAATGCCTACAGGCTGTCATATCCTGCAGGAAGATGAGTACTTTTTAGCACCACTGAAGAAACATTTAATAAGCTTTCGTATTAAGCTGCTGTATTAAATAAACCATAGGGTTTCTATATAGAAGCTTTTTATAACAAACACCCGTAAGTATTTATACTCTTCAATGAACTGATCTCAGGAAGGGGCTTCGGCTTCTTGAGGCGGAAGGCACTAGTACTCTATATTTTCTGCTCTATGGCCAATCTTTACTGCTTGTCTGCTCTATGGCCAATCTTTACTGCTTGTCTAACTACAAATGTATAAATAACATTGGAGCACCCACCAGGTATCCTGGTGTTAACCAAGATGTCCTAAAGTGGCAATACTCTTAATACAAAATGATTTTGTCCTTAAATATAAGTCACTATCTTCCTCAAGTGAAGGAAAACAGGGCTTCTATTTTGTCTCTGCCACCTAACTTTCTCTACTCAGTGACAGACAATTATAGGTCAACAGCCTGCCCTTTCCTGAGATGGACAAAACTAATTGAGACAGCAACTGCTTTCAGCCTCAACTTTTATCAGAAAGAAAACAAAACAATACTCTATTTTTACGTAAATACTTTAAAAAAATACCAACCTCTATGCACTTTAGACTCAAAGACCTCTCTAACTTTGAGTATTTTTTTTTATACACTTGGTCTTTTCATGTATATATACTGGTCTTTGGGGTTTTTTTAGTCTCTGGCTTTTCTGTCATCTTCTAAGCATTGTCTGGAAGCCCCTCACAGGTGTGGCAGTATTTCATGAAACATTTACTTTAATGGGGAAAGAGGTCATGTAAACTCAAATATATGTATATTTTCATTGTAAAAACAATAACTTTCTAAGTTTTGATTGTTAAAGTATTTTTGGAGCCACTGCGGCTCTTTCAAGGAGTTATTTTTCTTCCAAAGAACCAAAACAAAGCCAGGTTAATGACATAATTCTCTATGACACATGTCCTGGAGTTGTGCCTTTTCTACAACACTGGATTAAATAAACTTGTCACAAGTCCTGACCTGCTTTCCTCTTGTGTCCGTGAGTTCGTGTGGAAATGTGCCAGCTTCTCCCTGCTTTAAGGTGTAACCATGCCTCCACCCAGGGTGTTAACACCAGGACTCACCTAGAATTAAACTCTGCCTTTACTGTGCATAGGAAATAACAGTTCTCTGTATACAGGCTCTAGAATACTTGTATTAAACACTCCGTCCAGAGAGATATTGCCAGGTTGCTCTTTTCTTCATCTGTGTGAAGTTTCAGGTACTTGACAGGCACTGCTGAACCACTCCAGATTTGCTTCAGAGCATCCATATGTGATAAAGGAAAGCGAAGTCCATAAAGCTTTAGAGGGATAGATTGTTTAGTACCAAAGGAAAAGAAAATTCTAGATTTTTGCATAAGCTTATATAATTCTCTCATATGAAATTTGTTTTAGAAAAAATTATTTACTTCAACGGTAATTAGATAATTCATAGAAGTAACAATGTACTTCAATCAACAGTAAAGTTGTTGCAGAATGCTTGGCATTCATCACACTTAGCTGCTGCCGTAATCATCCATCCCTGTGCAAGTGTCCTATCAATCAAGTACAATGGTGGTTCACACTGCACCTATAAATGCACATGACCTTCAATCACAAGAAATTATCCCAGCCATAACCCAAACAATAGGAAAGACATGTTTTTAGCTGGACACACCTGTGTTTCCTCATCTTTTCCCATCATGTGTGCCTGTCTCAGATTCTTCAGAGAATGATAGATGTAAGCCATCATTTGTGGAGCTTCATCCTTTAAAGAAAATGTCAAGTTATCAACAAGAAAAAGATTGAGGGGTTCAGTACTAGGAGGGTTTAAAAATAATTCACCACCAAGAAAAATCTTTTGAGGGGAGCTAGGGAAATCCTCCCTGTGTAGCTCTGGCTGGCTTAGAAGTAGCTATGTAGCCTGAAATTCAGAGAACTGCCTGACACGAAGGCATACAGCATCATGCCTACTCCCAGGAAAATCTTGAAGCCTTGGGCCTTGGTCCTCCACCAAAATTTACTCAATTCTGTTCAGAATCCTGTGGGCACAAAGTTACAAACACAGCTGTTGATACTTGAAGTCACTGTTTTAGAGAAACCAGCATGTTAAAGAACTTGATTTATGTGTCAATTTATCAGAAGTTATGAAGTGGCCAATTGTTGAGATATATGAGCCATGTTGTTTTAGTAAACTTCCATTTAAATTTCAATAGTGTCAAAATGATCTCTACTCCCTTCCGTCCCCATCCTAAATGGGGCAACCTATTTTCTTCCACAACCTTCATCATTTCTTGTCATTGCTTAGTTAATAAAGGCCTGGGCCAACATACAATGTCTCACACTTAGAATCATTGGGCTTTTTTGAAAACAAGGTATTTGAGTGTATACTTCAGTGGTTTTATTTATATCATCCTTCTCTAGGCTTTTTCCCGATGGCTGCAACCTGACTTTTTGCAACCCCCTCAATGTTAGAAGTTAACAGGTAAATCCCTAAGTATAGAATAGTTCTCACAGACTTAGTATTCTTTGGGGCTTAATAAATGGAAAGAATACATTTCAAACCAGGTGAAACTCGAGAATTTTTTTTTCTTAAAAAAATTTTATGTCTATAGGTATTGTGCTTGTATGTACGTGCTTGTATGTACGTATGTATGTCTGCATACCACCTACATACCTAGAAATTATGGAGGACAAGAAGACATTGAGTGCCCTGGAACTGGAGTTGGACAGTTATAAGCTGCCATGTGGATACTGGAATAGAAGCTGGGTTAACTTTAAGAGTAGCAACTGCTTTAACTACTGATCCATCACTTTAGCTATAGAAATGAAATTTACAATTTTAGAAAGCATTCCTATTAGCCAGTTTGGAGAACCACTGACTAAAAAGGCCAAATTATAGGCTATAGATTTTGTTCTCTATGATCTACACTATAAAATTTAAGCCAGATCTCTACAGTATAGAAAATGAGAGGAACTGACACAGGAAATTCAAATCAAGTTCTTCATGCAAGAGCAGTGTAGCCTGCAGTAGATTAGAAAGCAGAGAAAGAAGAGGATCTGGGGACTAGGTTAAGCCCTAAACTCCCTATAGAAAGGACAGTTTAGAAGAGGAACTATGAAACAGTCATTATCCGGCTGGAGTAACTTGAGATTCATGGTAGTAGTATAAACAGAGGACATCACTTCCTTCTGGATACTTACAGATTGATTCTCATCTGGCCCTACTGTGAGGACAACGTGGTCTCTAAACTGCAGTCTTATTGTGCTGTCCAGCGTTGGGAACTTTTCAGCTAGAACAGAAAACCATCCATCAAAAAGGAACCAAGAGATTCAAACTTGCTTGTAACACATCTTTTAGCTCATTCTCCCAAGTACTCACTCCGACGTGCATGGTGATAATTAAAAGTGCAGCTTGCACCCCCATGGATCTCATTCTTACAGTGATACAGACATATCATTATGTAAATAATAGCACAAGTTAATAGTGAATTAGAGGGCCAGGTGTGGGGCTCTATGAGAGGGTGCTTATCTAGCATGAACCTCTGTATTTGTGCCCTGTATTCAATTCCCAACTCCACACACAAAAAGAACATTTAATAAGTATAAATAAGCCCACCAAAGCATAACGGATGGAAAGAACTGTGTTATTTTCTGTGCAAATGCTCACCTCTCTACACTGTGGAAGGAATGAGCTGTATGACAATGGCACATGATCTAGTCCAGTAAGTCAAGCATTGTGTCCTTTAAGACTATCCAGTCTTTCTAAAGTAAATTAAAATTAAAAGAACCATAAAAAACAAGCTGGCCTTATAGGGTCATTTGGTCTGGAAAGCATTAAAGAATCATAACTTTATTGTATAGTAGCTAAACTTGGGAAACTTGGGAAATAAGCATTCTGAACCATATATAGAGATTTACTTAGCAAGTTATGTTCTCCTAAGGATAAATTATTGGTAAAATATGCCATTGTTAATAGATGCAATCAAAACTAAATGCTAAGCTTCCTTCAAATACTGTATAATAAAGATGTATATAGAATCATTGTAAATAGGGCCTTATGTTCTTTAGTGGTTGTCACCTCCTGATAGGTAAGATAGGAAAAAGATTCTTGCTGGCCTGAGACAAAGGGTTGGCCCCAGTCAGCACTAGGTCTCAGCATTCTCTTGAACACTGCTTAACAGAACATCATTGTCAGCCAAAATCACAGTGACTGACAGGTCAAAATGTAAAAGTACCACCATGCCTAACTGCATCTGAACTCAAGCAAAAATGAAAACACTGCTCAAATTATTAGTGACCCAACCCTCCTCTACCCTGCTTCCTCAGTGAAGGTGCGGCTTATCGGAGGTAACTTAAGCCTCAACCATTGTTTCCACACACTAGGTAATATCTAGAAGAGACTCACCTACTTCCAGACAGCACCAATTCATACCAATGCTTTGCTTCCATGAGTCCTCTCGAAACTGAAATGCCCTAGGTTAAGCCCACACACTGTAAATTCTTTCTAATGTCTTTTTCGGAGATACTCCATAGTTCTCAATGTGTGCAGCTTTCTCACTGCAACATATCAAATTATACAACTTTGAATTTGGGAACGTATTCTTGATAGCTTTTGCTAAAGGACACTGACATCACCTATCTGGCAGTGCATTATATCCGCTGAAGACCAGAACTATCACACATTAGCCACCTACAATTTGAGAGATCCATGCTATCTTTGACCATTTTTTTATTTACCTGGTGATGACAGCATTTTAACAGGCTTGCCTTAATTCTAGTAAAATGTCAATATTCAAAGTTCTCCAACAGTTCTCAATATGAATAAATTACTGAGAAATATATTCCTCAATCAAAATTAGTTATTTCCTAGAACACTGTTGGCAAGTTGTTATAATGAGAGCAGCATTGTCTGTCAAATCATATACACTAAGGAGATTCTGCTGTCCACATGAAGCCTAAAATGTTTCCTATGTTCCATCAAGATAGAGACCACCCAGTAAGGCATCAAGCATGCCCCAATACCCCCAGCACCCAAAAAGAAACATCAAGCTCTACCTGGTTCCAACAAATCTGTTCCATTTTCCAAGAAGTAAGGAGGAAGTCTGCACATGACAAAATCCTTCTTCATGTCTGATGGCAGCAGTCCTTTTCTGTCCTCCAGCTGGTCTGCAAGAGTCCTGAGAAAGCCACTCACCTTTCTCTTTGCAGCAGTCGGGGTTTCCACTTGCTGAAAGTAAAGATGTGAAGGCTGACTGGATGCTAGTGGAGGTAGCTGCCGGTGTCAGTTTTCACTGCAGTAGGCTGAGCCTCAATCCCAACACTATATAACCTAACACTCACTGATATAAAAAAGCATGCCATCCCACGGTGAGGAGGGACAGCCTGGACCTTAAGAAAGGGAAGCCTATTACTTCCTTGCTCATCTTACATTGGCTTTCACTTGTTAAAATGTAAATAGAAACAATAATTAGAACAATTTTCAGAATTTTGCTTAGAAAGGGGGCTCCTTCGAAATACAGTACGGTCCAGGCTCTGTCTTTGGAAAGGAAGTCACTGATGACCTTAGGTAATGAAAGCAACCTTTGTTCTACTCAGCCTCGATCAACTTACTGTCTAAAAGCTAGCCAAAGTGTACTCCTATTCCAAATGGAGAAACATACACCAAGGCCCAGGTCTGCATGTGCCTCTTCTCAAACTAGAAACCTGATGTGTGATCTGTACAGATCTGGGGCCATGTTTACTTCAACTATTTATTCAGCCAATATTCTCAGTCTTACTACTGCTTTGAAAAATAAAAATACCAACAAAACCACCAAAACAACAATCACAGATGGTTACAGAATGGCCCAACATGAAGCCCACACTCCATTTGCTGAATAAATCCTGCAGCTCAGCACAGAAGGCTAGCTCATTTCATCTTGGGTCCTTAGGAGGCAGGGCTTTGGCTTATCTGGTCCCCCTGGCTTGCCACCTCCATTTCTATCTGCTTGTTCTTACCATGAGCATCCTCTGGGGTATTCCAGTCCTTAATGCCACATCTTCCTTTGCAATGTCAAATACAAGCGCAGAAATGGAATCCAAAAGGAAATCTCCCCATGAACTAGAAGATGAAACAAGAAAATGAAAATAACCAAAGTAGGTAATGAGCAAACAATATAAGTAAATACCCATAACTAGCAATGCTGCCAACTGGGGTCCTGCTTGCTCATTTCCAAGGACTCAGAAAATTAAAGAGATACTACTACAAAAAACAGAACTTCAAAGCATCAAACTAAACACAAGCCTCTATGGGGGCAGCTTTATAGAAAATTCTTACAGTCAATAAAAGTCCTAGGTAACAGACAAATCTCTACTTGTGTTGCAAGGAGGGCCCGCTTGTTCGTCCTGACCACCCAGCTAGCTTAGTCCCAAAATCCGCTTGTTCGTCCTGACCACCCAGCTAGCTTAGTCCCAAAATAACCACAGAGAAACTATATTAATTAAAACACTGCTTGGCCCATTAACTCTAGCTTCTTATTGGTTAACTCCTACATCTTATTTAACACATTTCTTTCAATCTGTATATCACCACGAGGTCGTGGTCTACCAGAAAAGTTTCAGCACATCTACCTCCGGTTGCAGATCCATGGCTTCCCTCTGACTCCGCCTAAATACTATGTATAATTGTTTGTTTACATTTAAAGGGGGATATGATATAAACATGAATAATTTGCAGTGGTATGAATCTTGGTTTATTGATACAAATTTAAGGTCAATTTTGTTATATGTATTTCTGCTCTTGATTAAGGTATTGTGATTGTGTAGTTCATTTAAAAAATGTAATGTATAATTTAAAAATATAGGTTAATAGATAATCATCTTTAATAGTCAAGCTTGTAATCATGTTAGATTTTCTAGATGTATAGATATATTTCAGTTAGTTAGGTATTCAAATCTTTCAGAGACCTTCAGAATATGGCATTTAAATGTTTTAAAATTTTAGGACTTTTCATAACAATGAGACACATCTGCTCCTGGCAGCACCAATCTACTTCAAGAGAAAGATAGGCATTAAAGAGGCTCCTTATGGATTTGGTTAGCCATTTGAGCAAAAAAAAAAAAAAAAAAAAAAAAAACTACTCTTTCCTGGACTGCTTGATGAACTGAAAATGCAGGGCCCAGAGAGAAATAACTGCTGAAGTTGCCTAAAGAAGGTGAGACTATCCTTTGGGTTCCTACTTCATAAAAGAGTGTGCCAGACATTCTGCAGGACACTAGAAAAAGTGACTGACAAATTGCCAATATAGGCAGAACTGTCTTTGAAATTTCCTGCTTCATGGAAAAGTCTGCTGGATNAAAATGACTAAACTGTCTTTAAAATTTCCTACTTCATAAAAAAGTCTGCTGGATAATATGGGCCTGCAGGCTGAAGATGGATGCCCCAACAGTACAGAAGAACTTTCGGTAACTGTCCAGGCAGTGAGAGGTCTCTGTCAATTGTAGTTTTGGAAGTTGCTTATAATGTACTTCCAGTTTACATAGGTAATATTATATCCTTCTAAAGTCTTCGATGGAATTGAAAAATTTATATAGTTTTCCTTAGCTATGATAAAAGATAAAGTAGATCTAAATACTGTAACTACAATTCTTGCTTGATAACTGTTTTGTTATATGTAATTTTACTATGTTGAAGCCTTCCTTTTTGTTCAAACAGAAAAGAGGAAATGGTGTGGAGGTCCTTCTGTCTTTGTGTTGCTTTCACTGGTTAATAAAGAAACTGCTTTGGGCCTGTTAATACGGTAGAATTTAGGTAGGCAGGGAAGACAGAACTGAATGCTAGGAGAAAGACAGGCAGAGTCGGAAATATACCATGGATCCATCAGAGACAAACGCTGGGAATTTTACCCGGTAAGCCACTGCCACATGGCTATACACAGATTAATAAAAATAGGTTAAATTAAGATGTAAGAATTAGCCAATAAAAAACTAGAACTAATGGGCAAAGGAGTGATTTAATTAATACAGTTTCTGTGTGGTTATTTCTGGGCTAAGCTAGCCAGGCGGCCGGGATGAACAAGCAGCCCCTACTTGAAACATACTTGAACAGTGATACGCCACATTTTACTTAAAAAGAGGAAAGCTGATCCCCAGTATAATATCCACCAACATCAACAGTTTAAAACAAAATTGATTTCTAATAATGGTTTTACTGGAGGAGAGAGCAAGCCAGTGGCCAAAAATAAAAATAATACCTAGAGATAAATATCAGTGTTCAATTTACTTTGCCTCCTCTGAGGTAGTTAGAATTGTCTCATTTCTGCCTCTGTGGCAGTTAGAATTGTCTCTTTCCCAACCATTTTCCAGTTTAAGTAAAAAAAAAAAAAAAAAAAAAAAAACCACTCTGTGGGGTTGCTTTAACACTTCTTAGCTTGTTTAAATTTCTCCAGTGTCACCAGCAGATTTCAAATTGAGGGCTATATACAAGATGAAAATCACATACAGCTTCTGCTTCTGAGGAAAACTGGTACTCTCCTGCTTCCCATCCTAGGAGAGTGGCAGAGGAGGGCACAGAAGCCTTGAGACATACTTTCCCCAGAGCCTCCAGTAGGTGACGGTCACACTAATGTAAGACTTAATGCCTCAGTCTCCATAACCCTTGCTGAATGTGGAGGACAGAGCAGATCTGGAACGAGGAAAACACATGCTCCCTTTGCAGGGTTTTGGGTGGAAAGCATATGCCAACGGCTCATATAGGAATTTGATGGCAGACAAACAGTGTTCTTCTCAGAGTAAGAATATTGATCTTGGGAGTTTCTAAAAACTAGGAATAACAACACCTCCTGAGGTAGTTGCTTTGTATTATCTAATTCAGTCTGCAGAAGCCCACACAGCAGACCCCTGTTATTTCAGTGATGCCTCTTTGAGGAAGCTGTACATTTCCTTACCACAGTAGGAGCCCAGGTTCAGAGCACAGAACACCTCTCAGATTACATTTTTGCATTCTAACTCCCTTTTTTTCCTATCCAAATCAGGTCTAGGCTAGGTACATCAGTTACAGTGCCCACTCACAGCCCAGACCAGCAACCTATAACTTGGAAAACTCTTGCCTAGCCCCAGATGATTGGTTTAAGGTAACAAAAGATGGGCGGAATTGATAATATTATGTATACAAGGTGCAAAGGAAAAGAAAGAGTGAAACAACAACAGGGCTAGCAAGATGGATCAGTGAGTAATGGCACTTGCCAGGAATGTCAGATTGTGACCCCTGGAACCCACAGTGGGAGGAGAACACAGCTAGCTAGCTCTAGCATGCTCCCCCTCCCCCAAGTTCTTGCTCTCACACACTAAAGAAGGCTTGGAGTGGTTAAAAGAACTTAGCTTTGATTCCCAGCACAAACATACGGTGGCTCACGGCTATCTGTTAACTCTAATTCCAAGGCACCAAACACCTTTCTGTGGCCTAAAAGGGCACTAGACATATATGCAGTACATATGTACAAACACACATTCAGCCAAACATCAATATAAAGAAAACAAAATAATCTTTAAAAACAAGGAAAAGAAAATTAAAAAAAATATGATAATGACAAGAGAAATTAAAGGAAAGCAGGAGTAAGAAGGCCAGAATTCTACCACAAAGCCACCAATGCTGACCAAGCAAAATTAAGAAGTGAGGGATTAACTGTATAACTATAATGATGGGGAACCAGAAGATAGACATTTATAGGGCCAGCTATGTGATTGCCAAGCTCACACTCTTCTCCCTCCCTCCACTGTCCCTACTCTTCTTTTTCCATGTGTGTGAAAATGTGAGTATATTTGTCAGTGTGTGTGCATGCATGCTGAGACCGGAGAAGGATATCAGGTGTCCTGTTCTACCACTCTCTGCCACATTCCTTTGAGAGAGGGTCTCTTAGCAGAATCTGGAGCCATGCTGGTAGCCAAGTCCCAGTGATCCCCTCATGCTGTCCATAGCACTAGGTTTATAGGTATATGCACACTATTCCAAACTCCTTTACTTTTACATGGATGCTGACATCCAAACTGAGGTCCTCAAGCTTGCATAGTATGCACTCTTATCCACTGGGCCATCTTTCTATCCCCCCTCCTCATCTTGACTGGCATCTGAGATTTTCTCTTCTTTACCTAGTCAGGTATTTTCAAAAAATGGAAACCTGATACCACAATTTAGGCCTTCCAATTGTGTGCAAGTGGCACTAACCTCAGGCAAGCCAGGATGCAGCGAATTCCCCTAGTAAATCTGAACATGGGTGAGTTTCGGGGAGCAGTCATGAGGAAGCAGAGTTATACTTACTAACTTGTTTTACAAGTTACTGCTCTTCAGTAGGAGCAACCTGATGGTCTTTGATCGTGGAATGCCTTCTCCTACCTCCATGACCTTCTGACCCATGCCATCTATTGAGTCATCTATTGAGACTCACTCAGATGAATGTCAAGTCTTCCCATGAGTGAGAGCCAAGTTAAGCTAAACATATTCTTCTAAGCTCCAGGGGTCCCTTATAACCTTCTGTGATTATACCCATGGCTACAGGTTTCCTGTTTTTCTTTCCCTTGCCTCCCTACGGTACCTTCTGTCCTCTATTTCGACACTTCCCAGTATCTCTTACATAGAGTGAGATATATGAGGTTTAGAGTAGGATATCTAGCAGGCCAATCACATAAGAAAATGCGTCAAAGAAATATGGATGTCAGCAGAAGAGGCAGCACAGAGCAAAAGGGAAGTAGACGACTGCCTCAGGTCTATCCCGAATGTGGCTGTGGTGAGCGATAGATAACTCAGAACTGTCCTAAGATACGAGGTTAGTAGTAAGCAAAGGCCTTACTTGTTCTGGTAGGTGCTAATGGTCACATGAGTAGAGTGCGTCAGGCCTGATGGAGTTTCTGCCTGATGAATGGTCCCTCTGGGAAAGTACAACAAATCACCAGGCTTTAGGGGGGGAAAAAAATCAGAGTTAAATACACATCAGTCTTTTTTGCTTTAAGATGATAAACATGTTTTAAGTTCTATATTCTAGAAACCACTGTTCCAGGAACAGTCTCTGTACTGGGTTCATAAGGTATCTATGAGCCCATCACTGAGTTTATTTTCAAGGAAACACCAGCTGTATAGGATTGAGATGCAAAGGAGGTTAACACCCTGTTTCTGGGGCGGCTACTCCTCTTTCAGTCATAGAACCAGTGCAACTCGCTTAGTTTCTCTATCACAAAAATGGGACAACAGCCCCACAGCCTACTGCATTATTCAGAGCATTAAGGAAATGCTATTTCCAAGCACTGGGGTAGCAGTGGGGGTATGGTTTTATTACAGTCATTGCCAGTCTTCATCTCTTGAGAATTTTCCTTAGATCTTCCTGACAATATCTTTATCGTACCTACCATGGACTTCTCAGAGCTTACCCCAGAAAAGAAAGAAGAATAGAACATAGATCAATATATGGACAGATAGATGATCTAGATTTAAGAATCTATCCTATCTCTATCTAACCCTCAAATCTGGATGAAATTAAAAATCAGTAGTTTTCACGGAGAGGGGAGAGGTAAGCTATTTCAAATCTATCCTTTTCTCTCTTCTAAACCAATGACAGAAATACTCTGTTCTTCTGCCCTGAGATAATTTTGCCTTAATCTCATCCAGAATACATTTGTCTAGTAACTAAGAAGAAAAGGAATCATGAGCTGCTCAACTCCTCTTTCAAAGTAAAGAAAGCAGTCAAGATCTGTTGAAAACTCAGGAGCCTAGGAAACAGTGCTCAAACATATCAGCTTAAAGGGAATTTAAAAGATGTTATTCAAAACAAGAGAAGATACACGTCTGTGTATGTGTGTATAAAGTACGCATATGTGTATGCATGAAGTATAACATGTACATGTATGAAATGTACATATATGTGTGTGTATCCTTGTGCGTGTTATGTACATATTATGAAATGTGCACATATGTGTGTGTATGTATCTCTGTGTGTGTAAGAGCTTGCATGGCTGCTGGTTTACTCTAAATGATGTCAAAATGGCAGTACTTCAAGTAAATAAACATTTTTTTTTAATTACACACACTGTTTATCAATTCTGTACTACCCTGAGGCCTTCACATATATATTTCATTCATTCCACAAGAATCTGAATGCTGCCCTCAGTCCTTTTGGGAAAGAGAAGGATGCAAATTCTTCCCAGAAGGAATGAAGTTCTGCTAGCACCAGTGAGGCCATCTTAAGACTTCTGACCTTAGGGACTATACTAAATTAAATCTATGTTGATACAGCAATCACTATAATAAGGAGACTTAAAACATACCAACATCTCACCCAAGGAATTTTATTGTAAAGGAAGTACCAAAATGATACATTTCAATCCCCACAGCCTGCAAGGTAAATATTATGATCTCCCGATTTAGATAAATAATTTTTTGCTAAAAGGAACTGCAGTGACATCAGCTTAATTCATATCTATCTATGCCACATCCCCAAGCTTAGAGTAGAAGGGCTTCTGCATCCTGAGACCCACACATAGACCCAAACAGGCTAACTAGAATAGTGGGAAGGTGGATAAGGGCTTTGGAATTTTCATTACAGCTCCCGACTTCTATATCACAGTGTGGTGGTTTGAAAAAGAATGGTCCTCACAGGTTCATGTTTAAATACTTGGTTCCCAGTTGGTGGTTGCTTGGGAAGGATTAAAAGGCATGGTCCTGCTGGAGGTGTGCCACTGGAGGCAGGCTTGAGGCTTCAAAAGTCTCCCTGCCTGTTTGCAGTATGAGATGTGAGCCCTCAGCCATTCCTGCCATCATTACTTCACTCCTCCATTATGGACTCTAACCCTCTGAAATCATAAGTCCAATTAGGTGATTTGTTTTATTTGTTTTATAAGTTACCTTAGTCATTGTGTTTTATCCCGCATTACAAAAGAAACTAATACAGAGTCCATCCGAAGAGGCTTATTGTGCAATCTTTGGTTAACAGGCCCCACAACAGAGTAGAATGTGGGCAGGACAATGCATTTTGAATGAGTATGATTGTGCTCTAGTAAACTATCTAGCAAGCCAGCATTTTGGTCAAAGTGCACATAAAAACATCATTATTTATTCATATTTCCAATAATATAAGCACCCAAACAAAACGAGGATACTGTTTCCTCCTAGCTTTTGGCAGGCAAATCTTAAAATCAGTAAAGAGATGTAGGTACAGATAAGAATTAGGCACTAGTTATACCCTGAAGATGCAAGAAATATGGGAACACTATCTACACACAAAGAATCTCTGCAGTGGTCTAAGTCAATCATTCTATATTGCTATTAATGAAAATATTTCCTAGTAAAGGGTATGAAATGAAGTGTATTTATGAAGTATTTCTGTATCTCTACATTCTTTTCTCAGGATCCTCTCCTGCCTGAGCCTGGCCATGTTCTCGTCCAAACTAACTGAGCAAGATACCGAGGAAGCAATACATGGTCAAGCTACTTGGCTCCTGGAGAAGGAAGTCATGAGCACTTTCCTAGCTACTACTCACTAGCAACCCTATGCTGGGAGGGGAAGGGCTACACTATCAGGAAGAAAACAGGTGGTACTGGAATTTCTGCCAAGAAAAGGAAGGGCACCTTGGCTGTGTTCTGCTTATATGCTAACACTGAGTTAAATGTGGAGAAACAAGCCAAGGTCAAATCTTCCACATTTATTTTAGAGAAGTTGGTAATTCAATGAATTCAATTTATTTCTGCTGAGCTCAATCATACATGAGACAGGACAGTTCTGGAAGATGAATAGAAGACTACCTTAGTTCACTTTTCTTAGACCTTACAGAAGACCCTGTTCTGATGGGTGACAGTGAGAGCTACCCATCCCTGGAATCCTCAGGATACATTCCCACAGGGATCTTTTCACTACTTGGAAACTGCCTGAACTTGTGATAGTAAGAGGAATAACCAGCTCAAGAGATGTGCATATGCCCCACCCATACCTTCAATATGAAGTCGTGCGTTGGTGTGCCAATCCGGGTCTCAGGCTCCACACTGTACTCACGTGCCAGGGGCACTGTTGGGGAATAGAGACGCCAGTGTTTCTCTCCCTCCAGCTGCAGGATAAAAACCTACAGAAAGCCATACATCGAGAGCATGAGAAAGCTTCCTGACAACCTGTAGGCAAGGAGCTTCTAGAACTTTCAAACATCAGCAATGCCCACCCCTTACACAAACCTATGATGCCACCTCAAGTAATCAGGAACCGTGGGGCTGCACAGAGGAAAGTCATAACCTCTGATAGAAAAATCTGATATCTAGGACCTTCTGGCTTTCAATGGGGATGTTCTATCAGGAACTCACCAAGGCCAGCTGGCCTATGTCTGAAAAAGCAAGGGATAAAACCGGACTTGCTGAACAAAGAGGACAATGAGGACTACTGAGAACTGAAGAACAATGGCAATGGGTTTTTGATCCTACTGCACGTACTGGCTTTGTGGGAGCCTAGGCAGTTTGGATGCTCACCTTACTAGACCTGGATGGAGGTGGGTGGTCCTTGGACTTCCCACAGGTCAGGGAACCCTGATTGCTCTTTGGGCTGATGAGGGAGGGGGACTTGATCGGGGAGGGGGAGGGAAATGGGAGGCGGTGGCGGGGAGGAGGCAGAAATCTTTAATAAATAAATAAATTAATTAATTAAAAAAAAGAAAAATCTGATATAAGAACCCAAAGCTTAAAAATTACAGAGCCTCGGCAGATATAAAAACACTGTAATTTTTTATTCTTCATTTGGCTAAAACTATCTTAATATTCTCCTAAGAACATTAAAAAAAAAACACTTTGGACAATATGTTTATAGCAAATAGCTCTCAGAGGAATAAAGGGATTTTTTTTTGTTAATATCTGTGTTCACACCTTGTATAAGTACAGAAATAAAACTACAAAATAACCAAATCAATGAGTTAACTTTTTTGGAAGTCACATAAGAATGAAATCAACACTTGTCAACGTGCCAAGGCTTAAGTAGAACCAGGACCTTCATTCAAACTGCACCAAGATTTTTACAAGTGGAAAAAATACACATATTGTTGGCAGTCACTGAAAAAGGACAAAGTAAAAGCAAATGTAAGGACTGTGATCTTACCTTACTTTGTAATTTTTTGTAAAAGTCATTTTTTGTTTGTTTCTATAGAGAATTGCCAAAAAAAATCCTGTTTCTAAAGACTGTGGTTATTAGTCTTTTTATCAGCAAAGCTGCAGCCAGGCCCCTGCCTTGAGGATGAGCAGGAAACCAGTCTGGGGAATACACTTTAGCTCAACATCCCAACTTGGAGATGAGGTCAGGATCTCCAAAGAGGTCAGAGAACCAGCCCTCCAGAGTAATAACATCAACCCTGACAACCGACCAGGTCTGGCTCTCAGCATCTCCTGCTTTCCAGCCTGGGCACTATGACTCCTCTCTTACCTCGACATCATCATAATGGGGAGGGAGGCCTTGAGATCCTGCTGGAGTCATGTATACATTCGAGCCGACCAAGGAGCCAAAGTAACTTTCCAGCTTTTCCTGGATCCTCCAAAACTCATTCTTTGACAAAGAAAAAAGAAAAGGAGTGTGAACAGAAAACAAAAAAGCAAATGTTCTCGTTATGATTTCCTATGGTGATGCTTTGAAGCCAGTCTGAGGCTCTAACAGGAAATAAGTACAAGAATTTACATTTGGGAACTCCTGAAAAATAGTTAAAGCAAGGGGAGCAGAAATGACAATCTGGGAAGGGGTACAGACAGGAATGAGAACAAGCTGACTGAACTTCCTCAAGAGTCACTCATCAGCTGTAAGGAAGAGTGAGGCGCCATATAAGCCAGAATTGAGAGATCTGAGTTACCTAATACAGGTAAGAAGTCCACAAGTGGGCCTTGTAGATAACAGTATATCCTACTCCTAAGTTCTTAACCCCTGCTAATTTAATACCTTTTTTAACAATTCTGTCTCACAGAGTAGGAAATCATTAACACCAGTTTACAAATAAGGAAAGCAAAGCAAAAAAACACACAACTATTAACCTCAGCCAAGATACCAATCTGGGCAGCCCAGCTCCAGAATCTACACCTTCGAGACAATTTGGAAAAGGCAAGTCACTTACTCTAAACACATATTAAAGAGACTAAGCTTCATACATATGAACGAACAGTGACTGACACATAGATGCTATATTATAAACATTTGGTTTGTCGCGTATACCAGTGAATATAGCTGGAGTTTTATCACTTAACTGAAACGAATCTAGTGTTAATAGCAGGTGGGGAAGAACTAGGTCAGCATGAAAAAAGCTTTTAGAGATGAAGACCACCAGATTTCCTTATTTACAAATCTGAAAGGTTCCTTAGCACACACAAAAAAATAATTTAATGGCCTCCAAATAGCTCTGAAGAGTTAACAGAGCTCCCTGAGAGCCTAATTTATTTTGGATAGAGGCAACAGGACCTGGCTCTCTAATTACTTGGTATCTGGCACCACTAAGAAGCCAGGCCTCGGCTCTTGCTCTCTAGTGTCCCAAAAGATCTTTTAGGAAAGTACAGTAAATTTGTGGCTCCATAAACATCAGTTACCACTAAGTGGCGGAAAAAAGCACTGGTACGTATTTGATGACTGTATCTCTTTTATTGAGAGCTACCCAAGATGCTACCAGTTCTGCTGCTTTCCCACTTATCTTGGCTGTCTGATTTTTGTATCTTCAAACTGTGCCTATTATTAAAAGATGTAGAATCAAACCATGTCTGTCAGGGTTGCAGTTACAAGCTCAGTGACTATACTTTATTTACTTAAGGATGCTATCCTCACAATGACCACCCAGAAGCTCAATGTCACAAGTTCTGTTGTTAATATATTAACATGCCTTTCTTGGCTACCCATCTGGTAAATCATCCTGTCACAGCACTCAACTCTGAAGCCTCCACTTGGAAAGATGTAGGCAATAAAGGGAAATAACCTCGGTTTTCACCTCGATGCTCCCATGTGCATTAAAATACAGCAATGGGGCAGAACACAGAGATCCCTCCTACAATATGCAAAAATTAATCAGTGCATTAAACATATTCTAGAGGTGCAATGTTACTTTAATAAAGCTATAAACTTTGGAGTCTGGTTTTTGCAGCTCTATGATACTTAAAATATCTACCTATCATTGCTGGAGATTCAAAATATCTAGCCAGAGACTGGTTAGATGGCTCAGTGAGTGAGAACATCTGTTTTACAAGCAGAAGAACAAGAGTGCAGCTACTTAGTATGCACGAAAAAGCTGATGTAGCAAAGAACTTTTGTAATATTAATACTGGAGATAGAGGGCAGAGACAGTTGAGTCCCCAAGCTCACTATCTAACCTAAACAAATGGTTAGCTCCAGAATCAGTGGGAAACCCTGATCTCAAATATATACGGTGGAAGCAATCTAGGAAGATACCCAACATTTTCCTGTCCTCCCTCCACACATCACACATGCATGTTTAAGTGAGCACATTATATACACAATTTCATCAAAAAGGTAGATGACCTCCTAAGTTCAAATGTATTTAAAGACCAAATAGATGTTATGCGTTCTCAAAATGATTTTCATCTTCAAATCATACATTCAGTTTTAAGCTGATGTGTGGCCAAAGGCTACCGTTTTCATATGTATGACAACTTTGCTATGGGGAAATCCATTACCTTAAATCTCTGTGGTTGATGAAACTGAATTGTTGCCCTCTTCTGATCAAAATCTTTTCTCAGCTGAAGGAAGTGTACTTTGCCATTCTTATTTAAAACCTTCTTCTTCCCATTGATGCACCGGCAGACATTCACATCTTTTCCATAATACAACCCTTGAAGGCAGAGCCTTTTCAGATCTGAGAATCTGAACAGAGACTGGTAATAGGTGGCCAGTGAAGGGTTATCCCTCTGGATGAGAAGGGGCTTTTGTTCCCAGAATTCCTTGAAAAAAGTCTCTACCTTGATGGGTGAGATTAAACTTTCAAAAAGAGCAGTGGGGCTGTCGAAATTTAATGTGGACAGCTTGTCAGACTCATCTACCTTCGCCTGCTTACAGGGAACAGGCCCATCTTCTTCTGGCCCATTCACTGTAGGCTGTGTTTTCTCTGACATTGTTCACAAAGAGGGAGGAAATGCAAACCTGCCAAAAGAACAAAAGACATGGTTAGGAATACAGGAGTGTATAAACACACACACACACACACACACACACACACAACCATGTGACTGCAACCACTTTGCCTCTTTGAGAAGTCATTAGTCAGTACTACTTCCTTCAAGATGAGACTGCCTTAAGCCAATATCACTTCTTCCAAGATGATTTAGCCTTAAACACCACTCAATTTATACACTCATTTAAGGAAAACACAATTTTCTAAGTATACAAGCACTAAGTCCTGGAAATCATTATTAATTAAGAGACTTAATTATCCCAAATTAAACCATTCAACTCTCTCAGCAGTTCTTACTCAAAGGTTTAGCCTATGGCCACGGAAACAGTGAAACCAAAAATCTTGAATTTGGCTGTAATCAGCACCATGTCCTGAATTTAATTAGATGCCCTCTCTATTACAAACATTTGAAAGAGAATCAGGAACAGCTGTCTGCTGCCAGGTGCTGCTCAACATAATACCATATTAAACCTTCCCAAGTAGAAGCCAATGTGCCCTTGGCAGTGACGTCACCTGGTGCCTAGAATGAGACTCTGAACACTGCAAACTCCACTTTCAAGTAAGATTATTCTTGAGAAATATCACTAACAGGGCACTTTCCCTTTGCACATTAGAAAATTTAAAAGTTTTAAAAATGAAGGTTAAAAACAGGTACATGACAGGTCTTCAAAGATTAAATTTTTTAACTGAAACAAGACATCAATCACCACCACCATTAATCTCTAACAGCACTTCTCCAATTTAACGTCAACAAAGACATGAAGCGTCAAATGGACCAGATACCCATGGTGACAACACCGCTGGTCTGTGGCACACATCTGGGTAGCAGGAAGATAAACACTCCCAAGCATTCCCAAGAACTCTTATTACTTATATAGGTCCCTTTCATGTAGGTATAAGAACCAATAATTCAAACTATACAAATATTCACAGAATATAAAATTTGCAAATATCATTTGCAAAAGCATGTTTGATTTTGGGGTGCCTGCAACTATATAACGAGACATGTAGTCTAAGCCTGAACTTGTGTATTTGAGATAACCAACTAAAGGAGGAAGGACTGATTCTGGTTAAGTTTCAGGGGCTTTCATCCACTGGATGGCTTTGTTGTCTGGGGCTTGTGGAGAGTCTCAACATCACAGCCAAGAGGATGTGTTACCTCATGGTAGTGGGGTAAAGCAAATGGAAATAGGCTAGGGTACCAATATCAAGGGCACCCTTCATGAACTAACTTCTTTCTACCAAGCCCTGAAGAGTCTACTCAGAAGTGCCAAGACAGAGGCTAGCAACCTAGCTTTGAGCACAAAGGCTGGGGGAAGGAGGCCAATTTAAAATCAAAACCATAGCCAAATGCATTTATCCTTCATATACAGTTTATATGCACAGCCTGGGGGTAATTCTATGCCTTCTTCATGTACCTCCAACTTGAGGTCAGGAAATTGTTTTCACTTACAGCATCAGAAGTTTGGGGCATATCAGATCTGGATTAGGAATGTTCACCTTGTACAGCTTTTCTTTTTTGTCTTTCTGATCCTGAGAAGAGGTTCCGTTTCTCTGATTCCTAACAAACTGTCTATTCCCAAAGAAGGCTGAAAATCATAGTGCTTATAAAATACCAAGTGTTCCTCAAGGCTTGTAACCTAAAATGCTATCACTTCCTATTGTGTTGAGTTACCAGGATGCAAGAAGCTGTCTTTCCCTCTCATCTCTGGAGCATTTAGCAACTCTGCAGAGTGAATGAGTATTCCGGTCTTGGAAGCTCTAGAATGATCTGCAGCAATTAATTTTTAGAAGAGCTTTAAAAATGCAATCCACATGTAAAGTAGACAAATTAAAAAGTGGAAACTGAACAAGTCTGAAACTCTAACAGTATGATTTTTATTTTAGCAACTAAATTTTCTATCACCAAGAAGCTCAGTTCTTTCAAGAAGCAGAAGAGCACGGTGGTAACCTGTACCAAACTTATCCTACCAAAGCAGAGTAGGAGCTAAGGACAATCTGTAAACGTAATGTTAGGATATGAGCTCAATGAGATAAACTTTCAGAAAATACTTCCAATATTCATTTTAATTCAAACCAAACTGCTTCAATCTTAACCCAAGTAATTGAAGCTTTGGTGATTTTTTTTTTAGTGGAAGGAAAAAAAAAAAAACGCCTACCATAGCTGGAACTCTGAAGAGATATAGAAATATAAATATGAAGAAGGACTCCGTAAAGAACTCTTTGTGTAGACAGTAAAGGAAGAAGGCTATCACTCCTGTTTGAAAAGCCAGCTTGTGGCTGATACTGGGAACTGGATATTTCTGGGAAGTTTTTTTTTACTACCATTAGATAAAATACCTAAATATGCAACCAACACAGCTGACACCCTTTCTTCTCTGAAGGTTTGAGCTTTTGGTAAATGCTAAGCAACCTGGTGGGCAACTGTTTCTACCTGCTGATACAACCAGGTTCTGGAACACCTGAGAGCGGCTTCATTAGAAGACCCTGGAACCTCGCACCTGGTCACTTCAGGAATTCATCCCATGCACATTTCACGTAGCAAATTGCTGAGCCTCTCATATTACCGAACTTTCAAAGCTGTTAAGACTATCCTCTTAGAGCACTAAAGGTCCTATCTTAGGGTGCTGCTGTGATGAAACACAGTAACCCACGTTATCTGGGGAGGAAAAGGTGTATTTGGCTCTCACCATTGAAAGTGAGGTCAGGAAGCTGACGGCAGGGGCTAATGAAGAAATCATGGCTATGGAGGGGTGCTGCTTACTAGCTTGCTCCCCATGTCTTGTTCAGCCTTTCTTAGTGGAACCCAGGACCACTAGCCCAGGGAGGGCCATACCCACAATGGGCAGAGCTCTCCCCCATCGATCACTAATTAAGAAAATGCCTTACCACTGGATCTTAGGGAGGCATTTTCTTAGTTGAGGTTCTCCACTTTCAGATAACTCTTGCTTGTGTCAAGTTGACATAAGACTAGCCAGGATTGGTAACTTCCAAAGTAAACGTATATTTAAGGCACAACTCTCTTACCGTCACAAATTTGATATATGAAGATGAGAGGATGCAAGTGAAAGGATTGCTGCCTTAAGAATAGCCTCTGAATGAACTAGCACAGTCACCAAAAGGTATGGTTAAAGTGCACAAAATAATTAACAATAAGACCACTTAAGGATTTTTCCCACCTACAATAACCAACAAAAGTCAACCCCAAGATATAGAACTAACCTTGCCTACTATTACAACCATCTATTTCCCCCCTTTATTCACACTGAAATGATCTGAACCCCAGTCAATTAGAAACTAACCCGTATGTTACTGGGTAAATATATGCTTTACCATACACAACTTTTTTTTTTACAAGTTTTGGTGGGCAGCACATAGTAGGTACATAGCTACCCCATTAAGCCTTCTCCAAATATCCCAACCATTTTACAACCATTCCACAACCATTTCAGATGCAGTAAAAGGCATAAGGTGGAACAAATTTCCAAGAAATACAGTAATTAAGAAGCGACTGCTTAGTCTAGAAAGGTGTGGTGCCTGCCTGTAAGCCCTGTAGACCACAAAGATAAGAATATTTCTTTCTATAAAGCTAAGCGGGAAGGGGGAAACAAGCTCTACAGAGGAATTATTTTCAGTGAGTTGATTTCAGGCAGGTAAAGGTAAAAAACTTGAAAGAGTCCCAGTTTACAAACTGGTAACAGCCATACCACTAATAAACTCTACAAAATATAAATGTCGGCACCCATACTACAGTTGACAAATTCTGTCTTTACATTTTAGGGCGCCCTAATTTTTCTCATGGTAAAATACAATGACAAGAAGTCACAAGGGCTTCTTAAGGGACAACTAACAGCGCTGCCGGTCACAAGAGTATACCAAAATTTCAAAAGCCTTACCAAACAAAACAAAACCAAGCCACAAAACAACAGTTGGGAGAGACAGGGGGCTTGCACGAAAAGACTATTCTGGGGGAGTCACCACAGACACCAGTACTTACTAACAGCTGGGGGGGGGGGAGTTCGGGGTTCTCTCTCCACCTGAGCAGTATTTTAACAGCAAAGCTTCTAACTCGCAAATTTCTAGATGGACATCAAACCTCTTGGATTACCACTTTTAAAGCTGGAGGCAGAAACCTATATTCACAGGCGTTCTTAATTAATGCAAGGCCCAGCAATCTAAAGAACACTGGGTTGATCTCGGCTCCATTAAACACACCTGACAACTGCATTCTGCGGGCCTGACAGATGGCTGACCACCTGACCCCCACATAGTGCAAGGAAAGACTCCCTCAAAGTGTCCTCCGGCCTTCACTGGCACATCATAACATGTGTGCATCCACACATACAGAAAATAAAGAAAATGTTGAACTTTAAATTATATGTCGTTGTAACAAGATCAGCTGGAAACCTGAAGTAACTTTTCCGCACGCAGAAAGTTTCATTAATTCAGAGATGTCTGACTGACTGCTTTGGGGCTTTGTGCAAACAGAATACGAATCATGTCGTACTGATGTACTAGGGGGTAGAGGGAGCAAAGAGGTCACAAAAAAATGCAGCCCAAAGTTACAGGCATCCTGGTTATAAAGTGAGCCGGTAAAGCACGTCTCCCGGGACCGGAAGCGCAGGTACTGAGCGGTGGGACGAGCACCCACACTTCCTGAAACCTGTTTCTAGTCACCTGTTGGACAACCAGGGGTCCGGCAGTCAAGTCTTCCCCACGAAAAGAGAGAAGGTGCAACCGACGCCGCACTCCAAGTCAGGACCGAGCGACCAGCCCCGCGCCCCGCCTCCGCCTGAAGCAGCTCCGGTCGGGGCCGCCGGGCCAGCACGTGGCGCACGCCCCTCCCCGCCACCCGGTCTGCGCGCGCAGCCTGGCTCTAGCACGCCGGGGACCGCGGACCCCGCCACTAGACCCGCGGTCCACGCCGTCCTGTCCCCAGCCCGCCGGCCGGGCCGGGCCCTCCGGAGCTGCACCCCTCAGCCCGACCCCAGACACCCGGGCACGGGCCCACCGGGACCACCTCACTCACCGCGCACGGCCTGTTGCGCGTCGCTGCGCGCTGTCAGGACCACGGCATGGAAGGGCGGGGCGGCGTGGGCACGTCCAAGGCGTGCTCCCGCTCTGGGCCCCGCCCCCGAATAGTGGCCCCGCCCCCTGGCCCTGGGGCTCCGAACCGAAGCACACACAGCCCCGCCCCTGCCTATGCCTACTGAGCTTCCTCTGCCTGGTGCACCACCTTAGGCCTGAAAGGTGGCATCTATGAACTTAAAAATCAGTGGATGTGAACGTCCTTTTTATGGTTGGTACTCCCGAATCTGAACTTAGGGGGAAATCTAAAAATTTGGACAGTTTTCTTTACATGCACAGAAACATGCTGTCCTCGCTTGGTCCAAAAAAGATCCAAACTGTTTTTCATTACCGATGGCTTTAATATTTATACAATTATTACTACCCTAAACAATTTTGGTACCAACCATATTATTTAAACGTCTTGTATTTCATTCCAATTTTTAAAAAGAATTTTATTGACTTTTTTCATGCAATGTTTTTTGAGCACATTCATTCCCCTCTCCCAACTCCTGCCAGATTCTTCCCACCTCCCTACTTACCCAATTCATGTTCTTTCTCTTTTTGATATAGATAGGTGGATAGATAGATAGATTAAAAAGCACCCACAAAAAGCATATTTTTTTTTCTTTTTGCTATCCAGCCATTCCTGAGTATGAGGCCTTCCCTAGAGCATGGCGAATATGCCCTGTAGAGAAAACTGATTTTTCCCTCTCCCAGTATGTATCAATTGCAAATAGCTTCTTAGTCAGGAGAGGGACTTTGCACTTGTGTGGGTCTTCTATAAGCTGTCAGTCTCCACGAGTTCATAAGAGCATCAACCCTATAGTATCTGAAAGATGCTGTTTCCTTGGAATCATCCACCTCTGGCTCTTAAAGCTTCTGCCTCCTCCTTTTCATGGATCATTGAACCTTGAGGGGAAGGTTTCATAAGAGGTGTTTTTTTTTTCTGACTGTCAAGTTTTTTAATACAAGGAAACTGAGAAAGAGTGAGTTCAAGTAGCTTTAAAGAATACAACTGTTGTCCTACAGAACTGGAACATGAATCAGAGGCCCACTGGTTGTCTTTTGTTGAAGCGGGGAAGGTTTACCAAATTGTTAATGACTGACTATCTTATAAACAACAGAAACCTACTTGTTTCAAAGCCAGGGAGTTCAGATATCAACACATTCTGCATTTCAGTGTGTCTGGAATGGGTTCACCTAACCAAATTTGATAAATGAGCCCTTTGGTGAGCATCCTCACAGGCTGGAAAGGCAAGACAGCTCTTTGGGATACACACACATATATACATACACAAACATATATAAGTATATACACATTCAAATATATATGTGTATCTGCATATATGTGCATGAATACATATACACTTATATGTAAGTTGAGTCTTGGGCAAGGTTCCCACTTTCCTTTTAGAAGTGACTACCAGGCAGGGAAGGGAATACATGGCTTTTTCAATTACTTTGCTTTTTTAGCATATTTATTGGTGTATGTATATATACATATATATGTGCATGAGTCAACTATTTGTGGGAGCTCCACCCACAAGATCTGACCTCATCCCAAAGGCAGGGCTACTTGCATTGGTGACTTGATTTCATCTTCTACATCTGGGGTAGACATAGATATTCAGACACAGAACTGCCTCTCCTCACTTTCTTTAGGCTTCAATTTCTGCAGCTATGGCGGTGCCTTCATTTTCTCAAAAAAAAAAAAAAAACTGCTGTGAGACCCTAGTGACACAAGGGTAAGTAAGCCCAAGAGTCTCAAAACTTCAAGGGGCTAGGCACCTGAGAAGAATTTGACAAATCCCAAATACCATCTCAAAAATATCTCCAGGGGATGAATTAAATACAACTCGCTTTATGAGGAAACTCATCAAACAAGACTAGCCACAGCACCTTATGATAATCCTTGGATTCAGTAACTTCAGAAAAGCCAAATTTGCTTAAGAATGGCCCAGTCCAAGGTCTTCAAAGATTCTGCATGTGATAGATCTCCCGAAATTCAAAATATTTAATTTGATAAATATATACCATCACTGACTAGAAAAAATTTACATATTCATGTAATTGTGTAAAACTACAGGGAATAGGAAATGTGCTTAGTTCATTTTGAGAATACCAATATTAAGTATTTATTACTTGTGCTTCTAGGACTGGGTTAGCCTTCCTATTTTCTTTATTACTTATAATATAGCTTATTTTGCAGTCTGCTTTAAACTACATAATATTTTCTTATTAAATGCTGCAGGCTTCCCTTCCCCATAAGCTGTAAAGAGTAGATGAAAATATGACTGTTCTCCTTACTTGAGATGTTTTGTTACTTATCATTTTATCCATAAGCCTTGGGTTAGACTTATTCCTAGTTCTTATGTAAAATGAGACGCACTCCCTCATAGATACTTTAGGGTCATCATTGGAGAAACTTGTAAAGAAGTAAATACGGTTGTATAGGTCAGGGTGGTAGATTCATTTTTCTGCTTTTCGCTTTAAAATTATCGTGAATAGGGCCTGGAGAGATGGCTCACTGGGTGAGAACACTTACTGCTCTTGCAGGGGACTCAAGTCCAGTTTCCAGCACCCATGATGGTTCATACCACTTCTGTCTCCAGTTCCTGGGTATCTAATGTGTTCTTCTGGCTTCCAAGGGCTCCTGCATGCAGGTGGTGTGCATACCTATACTAAGGCGCACACACATATACATAAAATAAAGAATAAGTCTTTTAAAAATGAAGAACTAAATGCAACCAACTGCTCAAAGTGATCATACTCAGGAACTGACAGTTTATAAAGTCATCACTCGAACTTCCAACAAGAGGAAGAACAAACTTCTGAATATAAACTGCTTCTGAATTTAAGAAAAGGACTCTAAGAGAGAAAATTATACAATGGTATTTATTCTTTAAAAGTTGCATAAATTCTAGAGAATAACTGAAGAGTATACCAAAAGAGGCTCTTTCTTTTATAGTTCAGTTAAAGCTACACACTGGAGACACTTAGCATTTTCCAGGCCCCATTTTTAAAGGCTTGTCATGAAGATTACTAATAAACACAAAATCCTGTGGGGAAGAACCGCATGTGAGGGAAAACACAGCAAGAGACTAAGTTATTGGCAAAACCCACCACTGACTCACAGGGAGAATGACGGATTTAACCTTAGGAGTTCGATTTTTTAAATATCATTCAGTCAGCTTCCCTAGAGTTGATAAGCAAACAGCGCCCATGCCCGTGGCATGCCAGGAATAAAGTACTCTACCCCTGAGATGTACCCCACAGCAGGGTTTCCTGATCTTGGTCCTCTTGGCACTCAGGTTAGTTTAGTAAGTTTTTGTTGTTGTTGTTGTTTGTTTGTTTGTTTTTTTCTTTTTGGTTTTTCGAGACAGGGTTTCTCTGTGGTTTTGGAGCCTGTCCTGGAACTAGCTCTTGTAGACCAGGTAGCAAAGAGAGATACTGCAAAAGAAAAGACTACTTTTTTTTTTTTCTTGGTTTTTCAAGTCAGGGTTTCTCTGTGGCTTTGGAACCTGTCCTGGAACTAGCTCTGTAGACCAGGCTGGTCTCGAACTCACAAAGATCCGCCTGCCTCTGCCTCCCGAGTGCTGGGATTAAAGGCGTGCGCCACCACCGCCCGGCTAGTTTAGTAAGTTTTTGTGTGGGATGCTGTGCTACGCTTTGTGCAGACTGATCAGAATCCTTGGCATCTAGCACTAGATGCAAAGTTCTGAAACTCCAATTGCGAAAACCCAATAAATCCTATGCATTAGAGAATTTCTTCTGGCAGTAGCCCACCCCAACTTTTAGATTGATACTATAAAAAAGTTACCTTCTCTGGAAGTCCCCGATAGTGCCCTGGAAGGTTAAATACGAGAATCCAAAGAAGTCTTATGATGATTATACACATTCAAGCTACACAAAGGGAAGACTGGAAATTTAAGGGAATTTTGAGATATAGATAATTTGAGGGAGTTGCAGGTTATGAGCCGGAAAGGAAATTAAAACAGCATGTCTTCTCCATCCATAAACCAAGTAACGATCACTCCAAAGCCTACACAGAGACTTGGTGTGTGTTCAGGAGGGTTGATGGCTGGGTGCAGAACTGTGAGGTCTACACCTTCTACTCTCATTGGAGCAGTTCTTGCAGAAGATCCCAGCACTTATGGAAGCATCTGTGATGATTCCTAAGACATGGCTCTGGAGCTTTGGGGTGGAATGTGAATTGCAATCAGTATTAATAACTGATTAATTAATTAATTAATTAATTCTTTCCTCGAAGATTCCGAAGATGGAAGCTGGTCTTGTCCCAAACAGCAGTCAGAGCCATAAATAAAGCCCAGTGGGCAGCCTGCTCTGACCCCATTAGGGAATGCTTAGACATGCTCTGGGCTGTTTGTGGAAGTGGCTGGCTCAGACCACCAGACCACCTAGAAGGTGGCACAGCAGGTAAAGAAAGCCAGCCCTTAGGAGGTGTGCTGACACAAATGAGGAGGAAAACATGACAGTCATATAAGATCAGGCCAAGACCTAAAATTAATTCCAGTGACCCCCAATATGGAAACCTCCCAAAGAATCATCACCTGCATTAACACTCTAACACAGACTACCAGGGACAGGTATATAACCTGTGGGACCCCCAAACCAACTGAAAATGCAAGTAGTTTTTTAAAAACTGCCACTAAAAGTATTAAGATATAAAAGTAGTCTTTTCAGCCGGGCGGTGGTGGCGCACGCCTTTAATCCCAGCACTCGGGAGGCAGAGGCAGGCGGATCTCTG